TCGCTTAAATTCAAGTACTAAACAAAGCTGACAAAAGTTGGATGTAATTCTTAGTGTGTGTGTGTAGTTTATATGTGAAGTAATAGGAATATGTCAATATTTTTTTTTTTAAAAATTTGGCTAACATTTTTTCTGCAATTTTGAAATCTAATATACTTACATTTTACTTATACTTACAAAAATATTTCAGTATTATAAATGAAGAATTATTAATTTTTAAAATTACACGATTAAACGTCACCATTTTCACTATAATGAAAAAACATGTTTTGATTAAGGTGCTGAATACGTTTCTAGCGAATTCAGAGATTTTAAGGAATTTCTGGACCGTCGCGTTTACAAGTGAAAAATGCAAAAATTGGACATTCGTACAAATACTAGAGTGGATGGGCCTGTTTATTAAACATTCCTAATATATTTTATTTGGTCCTAGTATCGATTTGAAGACTTCTATTTTTAGTATTTCATCCCGCCAGTTTCTCCATTCAGACTACTGTGCTAGGCATCTAATAACGCGCTCTCGCTTTCTTCTCTCCGACTCTGTTGAAACTGCTCATTTCCTATGGTTACTGCAAAACCTATGTAATTTACATCGATATCGATTACCAAGCTTATGATATCGATTAATATAGCGAAAATATATTAAAAAAAAAAAAAATAATATTAATAATCGCATTGATAAATATATCGAAAAACATATCGATTGATGTGTCGATACCTATATCGATAAATATTCCGATAGTTATGTATATCGATAATAATTCTATATGGATAACGCCATTATAAATATATCCATTAAGAATATATTGACAAAATATCAACTCTGATATTTTTAGGAAAGTAATTGTTTTTTTTTCGTTGACTACAAAAAATTCAATTATAATTTTTCGCAAAACTTCACATGCAACCTATTTCATATCAAAACTCCGCCAAGCATGATTACATTCATTCTTTTACTTTTCTCTTAGCTGGTATTGAAGTTGCCTTTAAAATCGAAACTAAAGAATTTTACTTATGTAAACACATACCCGACAAATTTCTAGTAGCCTACCTCTTGTGCCCACCTGTTCATAACTATAAGTTTGTATTTTATTATCTAAACACTAACATGCCCACTTTCTTGAAATTGCCTTTCAAAATAGAATGAATTAAATAAGACTTGCATTTTTTTTGTTTGCAATTTTCTCCATTCCATTTTTATATCTATGAGGTCTCTTTGCTACCAGGCGCAATAATTCCAGAATATTCAGATGCGATGAATTAGCGTTGCATTTTAAATTCCATATAGTCGAGTGTGCACTTAGAGCAGTGTTTCCCAAACTGGTTTTATATATAAAAAGTTTCATTATAATCTGAGTCTTAACTGACATGCTGCTTATAAGCCACACTTTATACCCATTTTTTTTTTTCAAAAAAAGGACGCAGTTATCGCATTCATTTGTTGTTCGGTAATGAATAGACTCATTCACTTCTTCAAAGTTTTATATACATCCCTGAAGGTCTTGTTACACACTTTGGGAAACACTGACATAGGCAATTATTCGAACTTATTCATACCTACATTTGTAAAAATATATTTAAATTTTTATATGTATATATATACATACATTACATGCGCTGAAATGCAGTCACCAAGTCACCTTGGCCGCCTGAAAATTTTTATAAAAAAAAAGCAAAAGTTCAAATATTCCTTAATCACCCAAGTAATCTTTTACTAACGTGCCTTCATATATATTTTCTTATCTTTCCAGATATCATTTTCGCTTATCGAAAATTTAATAAATTCTGTACGAATGCTGAACTTGGTGCTATATAAAAAGCAATTAGAATATATACTTACTTAATAAGGAAAAAAAAACCGCGAAACAATAATACATACAAGTAATAATAAACAAAAGCGAAAAGTGCTATTGCTATGTTTTGTGCTATGGAAGCTAACTGCCAACGCTTGCCATTTTTAATCTAAGCAAATCTGTTAAGGCATCTACACGGAATTCAAAGAACACAAAAATCGATTATTAATTTTAACAATTGCACAAAAGCCGAAACGTGTGAACTGCTTACTACGTACGTATCGAATGCAGAAAATCGTTGAGGCAGAGTAAATAGCATTTAAACCCAATAAGAAAAAAAAAGTATTGGTGCCACTTGGGCAGTGATTGCATAAGCGAAAGTGCAACGAAAACGGTATGCTTTTACCGCAGCTGACAACGGAACAAACAATTTTTGTTGGTCAGCACGAAAAAAGAGAAAGGAATCGTATTTTAAGCTGTAGGGGCAATTGAGGAAAATTGAAAAATTTCAGCCGAAAAATCGTGATTGAAGAAAATTGAAGATAAAACCGACGATATGGAGCATTTGGATTTGGCAGGTGTGATCAGCACGCCAACACTATGGAATATGTCGGCATTCGATCAACAAGGTGAGTGGAAATGAATACAGGCTAAATACTATTTATGTAAACGAGCATAATTGGTAGTGAGTGTACTATAGGGATGAGAAAAAAGTAGGCCAGTATAGATGCAAATGAAGCGATAATTCTATTAGAAAAAAAGAATTCGTTTCTCATAAAGATTTTTGAGATGCTTAAAGTGGTTAAATTTGCTGCGCTTGCAGCGTAGCTGAATTTATGTGGGTGGGACCGCGATGTTATCAAAAACAACGAACGTCACTTCACCTTCATCTGATACCCTGGTTGTGCGGTTAAAGAATATTCCTGTCTCTTTCTCAAATCGCTTAGAAACTTTCACAAAATCTAAATCAATTGGCCATAGCTGCCATTTTCAAGCAACCTAAGCAATACCCTGCCAGGAGTTGACCACGCAGCGCCACCTAGACAGAACCGAAAGGCAAATATTTGGTCACAATTCCTACTAGAAGCTTTGAAAGCTATCAAAAATGAACACTTCATGGGCAGACATTTTCCCATGCCCATCATGGTTTTAGGGTAAAAAGAAAGCCCTGCCTAGGTTTGGTTAGGTTAGAGTAACTCTGCGCTCTTCGCGGCGCTGGAAAAGCCTGTTGTGATACCACTGGCCGAAGCCATTTCTTTCTTTCCCTCCCTTAGTAATTGAACCGCCGGATGCATTTTATATATCACAAAAAATTCGAGGACGTTCGCCAAGTTCAAGTCGGCTAAACAATGTAAAAAGTACTTGCTGAAGAATTGGTTGCGCGTGTTGGCAAGGGCGGGACAATGGCAGAGATAATGTACGAAGCTCTGCACCTCTTCCACGTCTCTGCGCAACTGCAAAAAAAAATCGTTGGTGGGGTATCCTTACCTTTTTGGGGTGTGTGCCCATCAGGCAGTGTCCGGTACTTACCCCGACTACTAATCTGAGAGTTGAGCCTATAGCTACTTTGGATGTTGTACCGTTAGGTTTGAAATATTTGATAGCAGCTTGGCTGTCAGAATAAATAGCGATAGGCCGACCTGGCGGAGGTTATGAGCCCCCGAGCTGCCTCCATTATGGCGGTTAGCGAAAACTGAGGCTTAGCGCGAGTTCAACAGAGTAACTCTCGCTACCCACTCTTTGGTTAAGCTTGTAACCATCTGTATGTATAGCTGCAGACCTTGGGTTTAAGTGTTGTTTAGCGCAGGCCACCATACAGTGATCCTGTATAAAAGGATGGGTCTTGTAACAACTGTGTACATCAAGTGTACTATGTGTGGTTTTATTCCTCTCTTTTTGCCTATAGCCGTCTTACAGGCATACAGGGCGGTATTGGCCTTCCTGGAGCGGTCTTCAATGGCTCCAAGGTATTTGACCTCGGTTGAGAGAGTAATCCCACCCCCCTGTTTAGGGTGGGAGGTTTAAATACAGGAGTTTTATACTTACTTGTGAAAAGTACAATTTCTGTCTTAGTAGGATTGACACTATGTACACATTCTTTGGACCAAATGTTTACCAGACTGAGCGCATTTTGCAATAACCCACTCAGGACCTGCAGATGTTTGCCCGTTGCCACGATTGCTATGTAATCAGTGTACGCCATGACCTGGCCCCTTTAGGCTTAGAAGTAAGGCNTTGCAATAACCCACTCAGGACCTGCAGATGTTTGCCCGTTGCCACGATTGTTATGTAATCAGTGTACGCCATGACCTGGCCCCTTTAGGCTTAGAAGTAAGGCGTTAACAGTTAGGTTCCGGAGTAGAGGGAGAGAACGCCCCCTTGGGGAGTGCCTCTGGTCACATACTTTGTAATGGAGCCGTCCCCTAGTTCTGATAGAATAGTTCTCTTTTTGAGAAGCAGCCTAATCAAATCCAGCAGACCCCGTTGCACGCCCACCATAAGGAGGGAGTTGGAAACTGACTTCGGATAGACATTGTTGAAAGCACCCTCGATATCGAGAAAAACTCCGAGCGTGCATTCCTTTATGGCCAACTCTTTTTCAATCCCGCCTAGAAAGCAAATTTTTATGTTATAAGGGCCTGTACAGCTGAACAAGAAGGTGCTCTTACTTCTGATTAATTACATGGAACTATGTGGCGGAGAAACCCAACCTTTGTTCAAAGAGTCAATAGTCCTAATTGCCATTTGGCTGTCCGAGAAATAGCTATGTGGTCAAGTCTGGCTCGTTTATGCCAAGAACTTGAACCAAGAAAGCTGCCTGATATCGCTTCCATTTTTTGAGTCCTAACACTCTGAAGCATTTTCTTTGGATTAATCTGTTACAATCGGTTCGCTCCAGTAACGGTGACTGTCTCACTCAAGATGCACACTTTGGCCAATGAAATTAGTAATTTTTTATACCACCATGTTTTGGAAAGGAAATGACATTCAACGAAGACATAGAGAACTTCTCAAGCTGTTTAGGAAGTACGAACTCAGCTTTGCAAAGGCTGTAAAACTTGTAAGAAATCTTTCCAACCCTTCCACCTCACAAATCCGCTCCGTCTTGGACCAGCATAACCTTGGAGTTCCAACCCTCTTTGTTGGCGCCCAGCGTTCGCTGAGCTGACATGAGTCTCTTCCATGCAAGAGTACGCTGCAAGAAGTCAATGGCATTCCACCCTATCCTTCCTCTTTGACTCCACCTTGCGGTAGGGTTCTTTTCCTAGTCATTTCATGCACCAGGCAGTATTTTCTACGGTCTGATACTCATTACTCTATCTGCAAAACATTCTGACGCAGACAAATGAGAGGCTAGTCTTTCCCTGACTAATTTAAGACGCACCTTAATTGAGCCTAGACGCCTGATTGTTGCTTGGCTATGAAAGCAGATGTTTATCGCCTTTATTGACGTCATACAGTTGAGCAGCCAATAGACTGCTGGAAGCTACCTTAACTTAGAGTACATTACCNCCTTCCAACCCTTCCACCTCACAAATCCGCTCCGTCTTGGACCAGCATAACTTTGGAGTTCCAACCCTCTTTGTTGGCGCCCAGCGTTCGCTGAGCTGACATGAGTCTCTTCCATGCAAGAGTACGCTGCAAGAAGTCAATGGCATTCCACCCTATCCTTCCTCTTTGACTCCACCTTGCGGTAGGGTTCTTTTCCTAGTCATTTCATGCACCAGGCAGTATTTTCTACGGTCTGATACTCATTACTCTATCTGCAAAACATTCTGACGCAGACAAATGAAAGGCTAGTCTTTCCCTGACTAATTTAAGACGCACCTTAATTGAGCCTAGACGCCTGATTGTTGCTTAGCTATGAATGCAGATGTTTATCGCCTTTATTGACGTCATACAGTTGAGCAGCCAATAGACTGCTGGAAGCTACCTTAACTTAGAGTACATTACAGGGGTCAGTAACAAACTGTATGGGAGACCTTCGGTAAACAATAAGGAATCAGGCTATCTCGTCAGGCCCTCCCTCCTAATCTTTTTGTTCAAGAGTTTTGGGAATCGTCCAACTATACAACTCTTAAGCAGTAAGAACGGGCTTGCATCGCTTACGATCAACTCAGCAATTTTGCAAATATGCATTGGCTTTCATTTGAGGTCAAATATGACTAAACAAAGACACAATCATACTGCAACATTTATTAATTTGTCACAATTAGCCATTAAAAGTGGCAGCAGCAGGGCGACTCAGCATTTTTGCGCTACGGCCATGGAACCACGCCAAAGAGCACGAACTCAGTGCTAAGCATAAAAATATGCTGCATGCCACAGCTGACTTGAGCGGATCTGCGCATATAAATACCGTCTATGCCAGTTTCGCGAGCACCACATGAAAGAGCTTCGCTTGTTGCTGCATAAAAGGCAACGTTTACCGGCATTGCGGCGTTGCAGTGTTGCGCGTCATTGCACAGCAAGCAAAACAGAAAAGAAGCAAAGAAAAGAGGGCGACTATAAACTGGCAACCGTTCANAATATGCATTGGCTTTCATTTGAGGTCAAATATGACTAAACAAAGACACAATCATACTGCAACATTTATTAATTTGTCACAATTAGCCATTAAAAGTGGCAGCAGCAGGGCGACTCAGCATTTTTTCGCTACGGCCATGGAACCACGCCAAAGAGCACGAACTCAGTGCTAGGCATAAAAATATGCTGCATGCCACAGCTGACTTGAGCGGAACTGCGCATATAAATACCGTCTGTGCCAGTTTCGCGAGCACCACATGAAAGAGCTTCGCTTGTTGCTGCATAAACGGCAACGTTTACCGGCATTGCGGCGTTGCAGTGTTGCGCGTCATTGCACAGCAAGCAAAACAGAAAAGAAGCAAAGAAAAGAGGGCGACCATAAACTGGCAACCGTTCGCTGCTGTTTTATCTGCACTTAATTAATAAATTTATTATTAACGACGATTGTCGGCGCTGAAAGAGACCAAAGATTAAGGCAAGCCAGCGCTAGGGCAGGATGTTGGATGCGCTCGCAACGTCAGCAAAAATGAATGGTGATCATGAATGAATCATATGCGCAGCAAATGAATAATCAACTGTAAAAGGGAAAAAATTCATGAGGCAGCAAAACAGACAAATCAACGTTGGAGCCAAATACGTAGAAGGCGTTGCAGATGCAGATGAAGATGAAGATGAAGATGGATAATTGTGTTGTCTTCTTCCATGCTGCCGACAATACAGTTCCTCAAAGTTGATCTGTTTTCGTTTGGTGTTTTCTTCTACGTATGTATTTTTTCCATCCATCAACAGACTCTGGGTCTGTGTGCTCGTCTTCTATTCCCCAAACTGTCTGAGACTTGCAGTGCTTGCAAAGTATTTTCAGTCTACCCCCCTCTCAATCGCGCAATGATCGTCGTGATCTCTAGCTAGCACACACACACATACACACACACACAC